AAACAGATGCTAGTCCTTCATTCCTCTCTACTGTGTCAAATCCTCCTTTCTCATCCTCCCACACTTGCCAAAAACATAAGGTCTAATTTGGTTTTTAGACAAAACCAAAACTAAACCTTAACCCCTGAAAGCACATTTAGGATTCAGATACCAAGTTCAACAAACATTTCATATCAAAATACTCTGGAATTTTTATGTTGTTAAGCAGCCACCTCTCACTACTTATCCTTTCTTTTCAGAAGTATTGCTCATGCTGTATCAAACTATGATTTCAATCACACTTAAAATGAAAATTATTCCCAGAATTGATCAATAATATAAAGTAACAAGGGTGAGAATTCTAGGAATTGCCTTGCAGCCTTAATAACCCCATAAGAAAACATTTATTTAGCTAGATGATTATAATGTTTATCTTCTTTTCAGAAACAACCACTGCCAAAATAAACATTTGCATTGGAAGAAATGTGGTGGCTATAAAGAAGCTACCAAATAAAATGCTTATATTCTCAAATAAGTAACTCAGAAACTATGCAGCAAAACAGATATAACCAAAGAGGACAGATGATACAGCAGACACAAATTAGAATATAGACATTTTCCGAAAGATCTCTTCAAAGAGGAACCTGTTTCTAATTGTTATTTAACTTACAGTGCTAAGTTCAAATATATCACCATAACAAAAGTAACAATTTTGCCACTTTCAAGCAATGATTATATTCCTTTTTTTTTTATTGTAAAGGTTTTCACAGTATATTTTTTAAAAAACTAAGCCCTATCATCTCATTATAAAAGCACTCCTGAAATTATATCGCCCTTTTTATTTTATTTTCCTTCACCAGTTGTGTAATTCCAACAGGCATCATATTACCAAATATTTGTAACAAAGTAAGGGTATTTAACCCCAAAACTAAGAGAAAAATCTCACAGTGAATAATTGAAATTTGCTTCACCCAATAAAAAACACAGCTTTCATAGCCATTTTTTCCTGAGTGTTGTTTGTTTTTATGGTTTTTTGTTTGTCTTTATTTTGCTTTCAGGTACTAGAGATTGAACTTAGGAGCACACCATCAGTAAGCCCATTTTTACGTGTTTGTTTGTCTACTTATTTATTTTTCATTTTCAGAACAGGTCTCACCAAGTTGCCTAGATGGGGCCTTTAACTTGTAATCTTCCTGCCTCAGCCTCCAAAGTAGCTGGAACTACAGGCATGCACCACCATACTCAGCCATAAAAATCTTTTTAAAGCAAGCTGGCAAAACTTCAAGAACAAATAAATGGTCATAGAGGACAAGAAAAATGAAATAAGCTTCTGCTCCCCCACAACCCTGATCCAGTAAAGAATACCTTGGTGTCTTTTAAAATAAAAATCTAAACCACACATTCTAGTAACAAAGATTATGTATCTATGTAGCTCTACGTTAAATAAAATCAACCAGTGTACTTTTTGTTAGCCTTTCCCAGGTTTGAATTCCAGGCGCCTGAAGGCAGAACATTCTCCATAGAGGCATAGAAAATTCATTTCCCCGCTCAACTCAATAAAAACCCAAGTAGACTAGTTTTTAGGGAACTGTGCAAAACTAATCTCTTCAGGCATGTATTTGCCTGATGACATGGGAGAATCAGCAAGTGAAAGACCACAAATACAGTTCCAGTTAATAAAGACAAAAATGGTATACTATTATCATGTCATGCTTCGATGACCCAGTCATAAGTACATTTTAAAAATAAAATTATCACCACACAAATCAAGAATCACCCTTTTAATACAAACTAACACAAAACCCTCAGTGGCTAGTTCCTCCTGACTCTCAGAGACAAAAATAAAAAACTGTAAAAGCTAAATACTACCCATGTTAAATTCCGTACAAGCATTGCAGTTCTTCCTAACAGAATACTCATTTAAAATTCCTATCACAGTAGTGGAATGCCAGCCAGGAATCAAACTGTGACCTCTAAGCCAAAGACAACTTACCACTCAGCTGGTAAGTAGGCAACTCAATTTACAAACTTGAATTCCTGCATTTTAATCCTTGCAGAATATATGAGCAACATTAAATGAACTGGATTCAGCTCATTAGAGGTTCACAAACCAAACACAAAAGTTGTGGAAGACATCCAAAGCAAAGTCATGCCTAGGTGGTGATGTCCACCCAATAAATATTCAATATCATAATTATCTTTCAGCCCTTTCCCTGAAGAACACTACCAGTTACAACTACAGCAATGCTTAGCCAATTAAGTTAATCCTGGAAGGAAATGGACAGGACTAGCAGCCAATCAAGTATGAGAAACTTGTTTGGGGACACACTCACTATTCCCAAAACTTATAAACAATGCTACTCATTGAAAATTTCTCACCAAAGAACACTGACTCAGGCTAATAAAATAAATGCATGTGCTTTTATAACTTTTACTCAAATACTTCACTAATTCTTTTCCATTTCAAAACAAGAATTGTTCACATGGACCTGATATTATAAAATCTCTATGTATCCACTGAAATGTTACATACATTCAAAACTGTATTTATAATTAACTTTAGTTTTAAATTTCAAAACAAGACACTGTGTTTCAAAGCTATATTATTAACTAAAGAAAGAGTGAGAAAGCAGCAGAGTATCCAGACACTTAATTACGATTAACTTAATACAAAAGCTTGACATTTCTGCAGCATGGATATTCAGTTTCATACCAGATACATCCTTTCATTTAGGAAAGACCTGTGCATTTAGAACTGGCTGGCAATGAAACAGCTAATCATTCTTTTTCTGCTAGAAATAAAATGCCTACTCTCAAACCTTAATTAAAACTTTGCTGAAATACTTGATAAGCAATCTCCACCAATTTCTTCCCTCAATTTAGAGTCATTACATTCTACAAATATGTAAAAGTCACAGATACCAAATAAAACCAAAAACTAACAAAAATGAGTTACGTAAATATACTATATTTTTATATGTCCTTTAATTTAGCCTTATTCATTTGGGAGGAAAACAAAACTTCCTAAATTCAAAAATCTTTTTGGGTTTGGGATATAACTTAATGGCACAGTGCCTGCCTGGCAAGCACCAGGTCCTAAGTTCAATTTCTGGAACCAAAACATAATAATAATTCTTCACACACTCTCTCCATCTGTTTGCCACTCTGGTTCTGCACACTAAGCCAATGTCTAAAACTTGTAATAAGACTAAGCATTTAGAAAAAGAGATAAAGGAGCCTCCAGTTCTTGCCATGAACAGTACTATTTAAAAAGAACTTTCCAACCTCTTACACATCAGGGAGACATGAAAAACCAGAAGATACTATAGTAAGATGCAGGATGGCAAGTATGTATTTCTTCTATTAGCCCTGCTACTACATTACTACCTCTCTACCTCTTATCTTTGTGTGGCCAGAGTATTATAAGGAACCATCAGGATTTCTTCACCTCTATAAAGACAAAGTCCTAAAACTCAAGGGGGGGGAGGGGCGTGACAGGTAGATAGAAAAAAAGAGACAAAAAACACTTAACTTTTATCATTTATAAATTATCTCCTCACAATTAGTCTCAACTAAAGGTTTTATTCTACAAAGTAAAATATTGCTGAAAGAAAGGAATACTGTGTGAACAAATTAAGAGTACAGGGGCTAGGAGGACAGCTCGGTGGTCTAAGCACAGCCAGGCAAGTGCAAGGGCCCAGGCAAGTCGCCAGTACCACATGTCAGCAACCAAAACGGCGTGGTACCACACACTTGTAATCCCAATGCTTGGGGGGAGGGGGGACCTAAGACAGGAGGATCACTACGAGTATGAGCTATGTAGCGAGATCCTGCACCAAATAAATAAATGAATGAATAAAAGATTTTTTAAATTAGTACAATTGAGTATGTGACTGCTGGCATTCTCAATAGCTAATTTTTAATAACTAAAATACTGTAAAATCTCCTGAAAATAGTTAAGGTTTTATAAGTAATAAACAAATAGGACCCCAATACTGGTCTATTAATATCTTTCTCCGTAAGACACTTAAAGAAAAAGACAATAATCTTTAAAGGAGAATGTTTGGAGCCATTTATTAATGAACTTTTAGTACCCATCTGTGCAGCATGTAAAGTATAATAAATCATTTTTCTATACATCTACTTTAAAGAGGACAAGTTTTATCTACCTTTATCACCCTATATAAAGTTTTTAGACAAATACAAAAAGTTTCCTGAGAGAAAGTACTGTTAACCTTCACAGTGGGTTACTGGGTGTCATTACGAAATGCTCTATTCCAAAAGCAGCAAAACACATATTGACTGCTCAAGCCTGATAGACTCCCTAAGGGTGTCAGATGCAGTATAGCAATTTATAAATAAGCCTTTCTGGTATCCCTAGTAACTAAATACCTTAACAAGTCTGAATCTAATTTAGTCTTTTCCAAATTTCATCCTTTCTTGGGACAACATAACAAGGACACACCCTCAAGTATCCAAAAGATTATAGGTTTTATGCTGCTAAATGATGCAAGATCATTTGTGGTTCATCAATTTAACCCTGAAGAAAAGGAAAAAAAGATCAGATCTTTTGTTCAAGAGCAGAAAATAGCTTGTATTTAAGTAAAAATACAAAACTCCTCAAAATCTAGGGCCACAAATCTAGATAAAATCCTCATAAGAAATACACAAACCCTTTTCAAAAGATATAGCAACTTACTGGCCTTCTATTTCAATGCTTTTTTGTCTTTGGTTTTTTTGTGTGTGTGCTGGGGATCAAACTCAGGACGCTGCACTTGCCAGGCAGGTGCTTAAAAAACTGAGCTATCTCCCTGGCCTTACTGGCCTTCTATCAACAGTCATTTTGTCCACTTTGTTGAAGAAGTTCAACTTTCTATCTTTAAAGAAATAATGAACACTAAAAGAAAGCAATAAACACTGAAATGCCCCTAATTCTCATGATACCAACCTTGTAAGATAGTAATAGACAAAGAGAATGCTATCAATAAAAAAGGGAGGAGGACAGAAAAACTAGTACCCACCTGCTGCTGCGGGTACTGCATGCCTCCCAGGGCCCCTGGGGCCCGGCCCTGTATGCCAAGGGGATACCGCTGTGCACCTGGAGGGCCATAGGAGCCTCCTGGGTAGGGACTGCTCTGTTGTGGCTGGGAATGGGGGTTACTGCCCATCCCATACAACTGAGGTCTCTTCATCACCATTGGGTCCATTGGATTGCCCTGTGAAGAAATATACAAAGAGGTAGGTTTATCAGTTTATTATTCATTACAAACCCAAAAGTTTTTCATGTTAATACATGCATTCAAAACACAACTATTAATTCTGAAATTATTAAACCAATGATCTGGCAAAAATCCAGAAGAACATTAGAAAAAAAACTTAAATGGATAGAAAACTTTTTTTTTTAAACTTTTAGGGAAGTTTAACAATTAAAAGGAATCTGCAGTAAACAATATAAAGGAAGATTTTTGTATCTTAATCATTTGGAATTATATTCTGCATGTAGGAAATAAACATTATAGCTATCTCTCTGCTCTTTCAAACTTACTAGGAATAAGGGCAAAGGACACTAGGTGATTAGCAATACTTTCTGATTTCAATGTGTCTTTAGAACAATTTCTTTGTAGACCTGAGTCTGCCAAGTCCTGATCAAGCATTACTACTTCTGAGTACTCACTAAAACGTGAAAGGGGAGAGCCAACGAGACAGCTCAGCAGACTAAGCACCTGTTTAGGCAAGCCCAAAGACCAGGGCTAGATCCCAGTACATGCCACGCCAGCTCCATCCCGAGGTGCCCTGAGCTGGCCACCAAATCCAGGCATGGTGGCACACACCTATAATCCCAGCACTAGGGAGGCTGAAAACAGGAGGATCACTACTAGTCCAAGCTGTGTAGTGAAATCCTGTACAAAATACATTTTTTTAAAAGTGAAAGGGCAGATTTTGGATAACAAATGTCTTGAATATAAATTTTCAAAGACCTTTCATGTGCAGCCCCACTCTGAGTCACAAGCCATCTTCCCTGCATAAACAAGCATCTTACCAAACATAATCAATTCAAACTATATCCTAAATTTTATTTTTTGTCTGGTAAGTCAATCCCCAGTCCTCAAGGCCAAAGCCATGGAGAGAGCCAGGAGCTGGGCCTCAGTAAAGCCCACCCCTAGGTACAATGAGCAAAAATGCAAGAAGTCCCTGATCCAAGGAAGTAATGCCCAACGGCATGTACTCAACAGATTTTTCCCTCAAAACCATGTAATGATCCCTACTGTAGCCAGACTAGATATTCACATGATACATACACAGGGGCCCACTAGAAGGCTTAAGGATTACCAGAATAAATCAGAATAACAGGTTCAAAATAACAGCACCAAAAATGGACTCAAAGATGAACTGCATACGAGGAAATATAAGTAATTTGGATCAGGTAAAGCAGGAATCTTTCAGAGAAGCAGTGGAAGGGAGGCAGAAAGCAGAAGGGAGCATAGTACAAAAGAACAGACACTTGGTATCATCTTATGTATGACCCAATGAGTGCTCTTACAAAGAGCTGGTGTTCACAGTCACCTGTCAATAAACCTGTTTGTCACAAAGTGGCTGAAAGCAGACTGGGCTGCTGCGCTGTAGGATGCAACTGCAGCTCTGAACTGGCAGCAGTGCAAAGCAGCAGCAAGTCCAGACTCCAGTCACATTTAGGAGGACTTGAACACTGGGAAGTGACAGAAGACAGGTGATAAAGCAACTGAAACGTCATATACAGCAAGAGAGTGGAGCCACTCTCTGCCATGTTCTGCATGCGAAAACTGAGGTGCCAATGAGACTTCCAGGTGAAAATACCCAGAAGAAAGTGACACACAAGTTTATACTCGGGCAGTAATCTCTGATCTAAAAAATGAGTGGAGAGTTCACTATGCTTATGAAGTGTGCACCCAGGGAACTGGGAGTTTTCTATGGTATTCACCATTATCTCTCCAGGGTATAAGTTATTTTTTTTTAATTTTATTTATTTTTTTAACATTTATGTGTGTGTGTGTGTGTGTGTGTGTGTGTGGCCAG